TCTCTCTCTCTCTCTCTCTCTCTCTCTATTTCTCGCTCGAGTTATAACTCATACATCGAAACACATAAAAATTTATTTTTATTATTGTTATTACTGACAGTCGGTGTGAATCGTCTTAAGTATTACTTATTAAACATAAGTTTTTTTCTTGTTTTATATATACAGTATATATATTTATTGATATATACTATAATTATAGATATACGAGAGAGAGAGAGAGAGAGAGAGAAAGAGAGAGAGAGAGAGAGAGAGAGAGAATATAGACATTAAAGACCATAACTTATACTTTTATTTTTTTATATTCGTTAAAATAAGACATAAATAAGAGCTCGTATACGAGAACACATTATATACTTTTCAAACTAACTTTTCCTCATATGATTGTTATTAACATTCAAATAATACACAAAATCCTTAAAAATTACTCAAAAAGTCTAATAATAAGCACTTTTAATGGGGAAGAAAAATAAGAAAACAAATTTCCAGACATTAAAAACACTGATAATATAGTAGTCGTCAACCAAAAAGTAACGAAATATTTATTCCCAATTATTTTCCCCATGAAAACAGTTGTTAAGTATCCGACGGTCGGTGCGGGAAGTGGTGGAAGGAGTGCCAAACCTCGAGAGTCTTAATCTAATCGGTTGTTATAATCTGACGGACGAGTGGCTGACCAGTGCTCTCACGAAACCGAAGGACAGTTTAGTTGAGCTCAACCTAAGTATGTGTAAACCAATCACCGACCACTCGCTGGAACGGATCGGTGACTATCTGAAGAATGTGGAGACACTGGACCTGAGCGGGTGCTCGAACATCACCAACACGGGGCTCCTGGAGCTGTCGATGGAGCTGAAGCGGCTGAAGTACCTGAACCTCCGGAGCTGTCGACACGTGTCGGATGTGGGCATCGGTCACATCGCGGGCACCACTCAGGAGACAGGTCTGGTGGGCGCGGGACTGTTCACTCTGGAGTTTTTGGGTCTTCAGGACTGCCAGAAGATCAGCGACGACTCCCTCCGTCACATCGCCGCCAAACTCAATCACTTGCGGGCAATAAACTTGAGCTTCTGTTCCTCGATCACAGACTTCGGACTCAAACACTTGTCCTCAATGTCTAACTTACGTGAAATCAATTTGAGGAGTTGTGACAACATTACCGACCAAGGGTTGGGACACCTGTCCGACGGCACGGTCCGCAACCTACAGGTGCTAGACGTCAGTTTCAGCAGTGATAAGATCGGTGACCAGGGATTAGTGCACATCTCCCAGAAACTGGTTCACCTCCGCAGCCTTAGTCTGAACGCGTGTTCCGGTGTGACGGACGAGGGGCTGACCAAGATCTCGCGGACACTACTGGGCCTCCAAGTGCTCAATTTGGGCCAATGCAACAAAATCACCGACAAAGGCCTGTGCGCTATTGGCCAGCATTTAGTCAATTTAACAAACATTGATCTCTACGGGTGTTCACTGATCAGTACAGTGGGTCTCGAGAAGATCCATCAGTTACCACATCTCAATCATCTCAATCTCAAACTCTGGCAAAAGGATCAACAGATCACCAATCAGTCGACCAATCAGTGCTAACCACTAATTATGAAATTAATAATATTATTAGAATATTTATATTTTGCCATTCAATGACAAGTAAGAGAGAATAAATATCATAGCAGCAGTGACATTTCATGTTTTTATCGGTTTATTTGCCACTGATATCACAGTTTTTCGATCAAATTATATGAAATCGAAATACATATAAAAAGCGGTTCATAATAGGGATGAGAAAAACCTCTATTTTCATACATACAGTGCATGAATACCAGTACTGATTGACTGATTGAATGAATGACTCTTCACTATCATAGAGGGTCTGTATCACAAGAATTGTGTTATTAATACACAGACAGTGGGTATGGGCTTTGAAATTGAAATTAAATATCAAAATCTAATACAGAGTAAAATATATACGAGACTATTATTGTTTGAATTTACGAATGAAAAATCAGCACAATTTTTGTTGTATTTCATTGTTTGTTCACAATATTCTCAGTATATTCAGTATTATATGAGTTGTTGTCATAAGTTTCTCTCTCTCTCTCTCTCTCTCTCTCTCTCTCTCATTATGAAAATTTTGTTTCTCTTTTATAATTTTGTTTCACTGATTAGATAGAGTTGTATAACATATGAGAGATTCTGAACAATATTTGTCTATTTGATTCTGTCTTTGATATAATGCATGAGTTTTATTATAAAAACAAAAAGTTTTATACAAAAAATGAGAATATAAACTATATTTTATTTTTATGCAAACAAAAGTTTAGTTCAAAATTCAACATTAAGTTCTGAGAAAATAATTATGAAAACATATTTTAGTAATATATTTAGTATGATATTCCA